CCTCCTCCCTATCACCCTTTTTGAAAATCGGTACGACATTTGCCTCCTTCCAGCAACTGGGCAATTCTCCCGACATAAGTGACTCATTAAAGATCATTGCCAGAGGCACACTGAGAGCCTGCGCTGCCTCTTTAAGTATCCACGGTGATACTTTGTCTGGTCCAACAGCTTTATTTGCATCCAGTGTTGTCAACTGTTTCATTACATCCTCTGCTGTCACCTCTATATCTGATAGTCTTTCATCTTGGGTAATCTCTTCTAACAATGGGAGCTGCTCAGGCTCGGTTGTGAACACTCCATGGAATTTTGCATTCAGTACCTCACAGATTTCCTTGTCGCTTTCTGTATATGCCCCTTCTGTTTTCCTCAGTCTTGTCACTTGGTCATTTACCGACATCTTCCTTCTTATATGGCTATGTAGTAATTTTGGTTGCTTTTTCGCTTTGACTGCAATATCGTTCTCATAATTGTGTGTGTGTGTGTGTGTGTGTGTGTGTGTGTGTGTGTGTGTGTGTGTGTGTTTGAGTGTGTGTGTGTATGTGTGTGTGTGTGTGTGTGTGTGTGTGTGTGTGTGTGTGTGTGTGTGTGTGTGTGTGTGTGTGTGTGTGTGTGTGTGTGTGTGTGTGTGTGTGTGTGTGTGTGTGTGTGTGTGTGTGTGTGTGTGTGTGTGTGTGTGTGTGTGTGTGTGTGTGTGTGTGTGTGTGTGTGTGTGTGTGTGTGTGTGTGAGTGTGTGTGTGTATGTGTGTGTGTGTGTGTGTGTGTGTGTGTGTGTGTGTGTGTGTGTGTGTGTGTGTGTGTGTGTGTGTGTGTGTGTGTGTGTACTCACCTAGTTGTACTCACCTAGTTGTGTTTGCGGGGGTTGAGCTCTGGCTCTTTGGTCCCGCCTCTCAACCGTCAATCAACAGGTGTACAGATTCCTGAGCCTATCGGGCTCTGTCATATCTACACTTGAAACTGTGTATGGAGTGAGCCTCCACCACATCACCCCCTAATGCATTCCATTTGTCAACCACTCTGACACTAAAAAAGTTCTTTCTAATATCTCTGTGGCTCATTTGGGCACTCAGTTTCCACCTGTGTCCCCTTGTGCGTGTTCCCCTTGTGTTAAATAGACTGTCTTTATCTACCCTATCAATCCCCTTCAGAATCTTGAATGTGGTGATCATGTCCCCCCTAACTCTTCTGTCTTCCAGCGAAGTGAGGTTTAATTCCCGTAGTCTCTCCTCGTAGCTCATACCTCTCAGCTCGGGTACTAGTCTGGTGGCAAACCTTTGAACCTTTTCCAGTTTAGTCTTATCCTTGACTAGATATGGACTCCATGCTGGGGCAGCATACTCCAGGATTGGCCTGACATATGTGGTATACAAAGTTCTGAATGATTCTTTACACAAGTTTCTGAATGCCGTTCGTATGTTGGCCAGCCTGGCATATGCCGCTGATGTTATCCGCTTGATATGTGCTGCAGGAGACAGGTCTGGCGTGATATCAACCCCCAAGTCTTTTTCCTTCTCTGACTCCTGAAGAATTTCCTCTCCCAGATGATACCTTGTATCTGGCCTCCTGCTCCCTACACCTATCTTCATTACATTACATTTGGTTGGGTTAAACTCTAACAACCATTTGTTCGACCATTCCTTCAGCTTGTCTAGGTCTTCTTGAAGCCTCAAACAGTCCTCTTCTGTTTTAATCCTTCTCATAATTTTAGCATCGTCCGCAAACATTGAGAGAAATGAATCGATACCCTCCGGGAGATCATTTACATATATCAGAAACAAGATAGGACCGAGTACAGAGCCCTGTGGGACTCCACTGGTGACTTCACGCCAATCGGAGGTCTCACCCCTCACCGTAACTCTCTGCTTCCTATTGCTTAGATACTCCCTTATCCACTGGAGCACCTTACCAGCTACACCTGCCTGTCTCTCCAGCTTATGTACCAGCCTCTTATGCGGTACTGTGTCAAAGGCTTTCCGACAATCCAAGAAAATGCAGTCCGCCCAGCCCTCTCTTTCTTGCTTAATCTGTGTCACCTGATCGTAGAATTCTATCAAGCCTGTAAGGCAAGATTTACCCTCCCTGAATCCATGTTGGCGATTTGTCACGAAGTCCCTTCTCTCCAGATGTGTTACCAGGTTTTTTCTCACGATCTTCTCCATCACCTTGCATGGTATACAAGTCAAGGACACTGGCCTGTAGTTCAGTGCCTCTTGTCTGTCGCCCTTTTTGTATATTGGGACCACATTCGCCGTCTTCCATATTTCTGGTAGGTCTCCCGTCTCTAGTGATTTACTATACACTATGGAGAGTGGCAAGCAAAGTGCCTCTGCACACTCTTTCAGTACCCATGGTGAGATCCCATCTGGACCAACCGCCTTTCTAACATCCAGATCCAGCAGTGTGTGTGTGTGTGTGTGTGTGTGTGTGTGTGTGTGTGTGTGTGTGTGTGTGTGTGTGTGTGTGTGTGTGTGTGTGTGTGTGTGTGTGTGTGTGTGTGTGTGAGTGTGTGTGTGTGTGTGTGTGTGTGTGTGTGTGTGTGTGTGTGTGTGTGTGTGTGTGTGTGTGTGTGTGTGTGTGTGTGTGTGTGTGTGTGTGTGTGTGTGTGTGTGTGAGTGTGTGTGTACTCACCTAGTGCTCACCTAATTGTGCTTGCGGGGGTTGAGCTTTGGCTCTTTGGTCCCGCCTCTCAACTGTCAATCAACTGGTGTACAGATTCCTGAGCCTACTGGGCTCTATCATACCTACATTTGAAACTGTGTATGGAGTCAGCCTCCACCACATCACTTCCTAGTGCATTCCATTTATTAACTACTCTGACACTGAAAAAATTCTTTCTAACGTCTCTGTGGCTCATCTGGGTACTAAGTTTCCACCTGTGTCCCCTTGTTCGTGTCCCACCCGTGCTGAAGAGTTTGTCTTTGTCCACCCTGTCAATTCCCCTGAGAATTTTGTAGGTGGTTATCATGTCTCCCCTTACTCTTCTGTTTTCCAGGGATGTGAGGTTCAGCTCCTTTAGCCTTTCCTCGTAGCTCAATCCTCTCAGTTCCGGGACGAGCCTGGTGGCATACCGCTGAATCTTCTCTAACTTTGTCTTGTGTTTAACTAGGTATGGACTCCAGGCTGGAGCTGCATACTCCAGCTGCATACTGTGTGTGTGTGTGTGTGTGTATGTGTGTGTGTGTGTATGTGTGTGTGTGTGTGTGTGTGTGTGTGTGTGTGTGTGTGTGTGTGTGTGTGTGTGTGTGTGTGTGTGTGTGTGTGTGTGTGTGTGTGTGTGTGTGTGTGTGTGTGTGTGTGTGTGTGTGTGTATGTGTGTGTGTGTGTGTGTATTCACCTAGTTGTGCTTGTGGGGGGTTTGAGCTCTTGAGCTCTGACAGTTGAGAGAGCTCTCTGCTCTCTCTCAACTGTCAATCAATCAACTGTTACTAACTTTTTGTTCCCCCCCCCCCACGACCACACACAGGAAGCAGCTCCGTAACAGCTGTCTAACTCCCAGGTACGTATTTACTGCTAGGTAGAAGGGGGCATCAGTGTGTGTGTATGTGTCTATTCACCTAGTTGTACTCACCTAGTTGTGCTTACCGGGGGTTGAGCTCTGGCTCTTTGGCCTCGCCTTTCAAATGTCAATCAACTATTGTATTGTGTCAGCAACTATTGCATTGCATTCAATCAACTTCTACCATTGTGTGTGTATGAGTGTGAGTGAATGTGTGCGAGTGTATGTGCAAATTAGAGTTAAATAATATTTACTAATATTTGTGAGACGAGCACATATAATATCACACTGCTAACTCCCAGATTCTGAGAGGCATTTAATTGTCAAATTATTCTTAAGCTGGAATTTCCGCGGGCGCAACACTTCAGTACCGAGAGAGAGCTTAGTCAAAGGATCAAATATATATATTTTAAACATCTAACTCATCTCGCTACACAGACAGTTGACTTTGGCTTACACTAATCCAGTTCCTATGAGAATTTTACATATATAATATTAAGTCTCGTTAGCTTCAACATAAATAACCCGTTTAATATATCGAATATCACATCTCAACATATAACATACACAAATATATATCAACCTCGTTATTTCCTGCCAGTGGAGTGGGTATATATATATATACCATGAAAGATGTGCCTCGCTTATCTGAGAATATACACTGAGTTTACTCCTGGACTATTCTCGAGACTAAAGAACTTGAGAACTTTATTCGTATCTCTATACTGTGGATATGAATAAAGTTCATCTTGAAGAAATGTAATAACGCGCCTGACATCCATGTTTGGTCCCAGCCGCAAGGAGACGCAGTATCCAGAAATATCGGGGAACTATATATATATATATATTAATTCCTTTTGTCAGAAACAGGAACTCTGTTTCAGGAAGAAGAAGAAACAGGAAGAAGAAACAGGAAAAAACATTATTTCATGAAAACTTGGCTTATTAGGCAAATCGGGCCTTGCATAGTAGGCTGAGAAGTGCGTTCTGGCTACTAGGTACGACATATATATATATATATATATATATATATATATATATATATATATATATATATATATATATATATATATATATATATATATATATATATATATATGTGTGTGTGTGTGTGTGTGTGTGTGTGTGTGTGTGTGTGTGTGTGTGTGTGTGTGTGTGTGTGTGTGTGTGTGTGTGTGTGTGTGTGTGTGTGTGTGTGTGTGTGTGTGTGTGTGTGTGTGTGTGTGTGTGTGTACTTACCTAGTTTTGCTTGCGGGGGTTGAGCTTTGACTCGTTGGTCCCGCCTCTCAACCGTCAATCAACTGGTGTACAAACCCCGCCAAGACCCCTCCAAACCCCGCCAAGACCCTCCAAACCCCGCCAAGACCCTCCAAACCCCGCCAAGACACTTCAAAACCCCGCCAAGACCCACCAAACCCTGCCAAGACCCTCCAAACCCCTCACCAAGACCCCTCCAAACCCCGCCAAGACCCCTCCAAACCCCGCTAAGACCCTCCAAACCCCGCCATGACCCTCCAAACCCCGCCAAGACACTCCAAAACTCCGCCAAGACCCACCAAACCCTGCCAAGACCCACGAAACCCCACCAAGACCCCTCCAAACCCCGCCAAGACCCTCCAAACCCCGCCAAGACCCTCCAAACCCCGCCAAGACACTCCAAAACCCCGCCAAGACCCACCAAACCCTGCCAAGACCCACCAAACCCCGCCAAGACCCTCCAAACCCCTCACCAAGACCCTCCAAACCCCCGCCAAGACCCCTCCAAACCCCGCTAAGACCCTCCAAACCCCGCCAAGACCCTCCAAACCCCGCCAAGACACTCCAAAACCCCGCCAAGACCCACCAAACCCTGCCAAGACCCTCCAAACCCCTCACCAAGACCCTCCAAACCCCCGCCAATACCCTCCAAACCCCGCCAAACCCCGTCAAAACACTCCAAAACTCTCCGCCAAGACCCTTCAAACTCCCTCCAAGACCCACCAAACCCCGCTAAGACCCTCCAAAACCCCGCCAAGACCCTACAAACCCCGCCAAGACCCTCCAAACCTCCCTAAGACCCTACAACCCCCCCCCCCGCCAAGGTGCGAGGAGCCCTCCCAGCATGTGAGCGTGCCTTCCACCCGCCACTTCCCCCCCCCCCCTACCCACGATCAACAGCCTTGGTTTTCCTAATTAATCCAATGCCAGGAGACACGGTACACAGCACAGATTAATTACCTGCATACGGTGGGCGCATATTAGTTCACGACACCGTTGCCAAGATGTTTTCACCGCTGCGCTGCGGAATGGAGGAACGAGGCCCACTGTGCTACTCGCGTGGTAATGAGATGCAGTCTTGTTAATTAGATATCATACGACTGTGTGTTGCATTGCAGCTGCAAGGCAAGGTACATTTGCAGGAGTTTTCGTCCAGTTTTGCGTTCCTTCTCAAGAGTCGGATATCGGCCTGGAATAAACTTGTTTTCACTATTTGGAGGAAGATGCTGTGTGGGGTGGGGTTGGGGGGGGTTGGGGGAGGGGGTTTGATACAAGACCTGGTGCTGGGGGTCAAGAATGAAGGAGAGCTTGTGAGTAACAGGCTGGGGGGTGTAGCGGGGGCTGGGGGGGGGTGTAGCCCCCTTACACCTCTCCCCTACACCCTCCCAGCTACCACCAGCTACACCCCCCCCAGGCTGGGGGGGGTTGTTGTAGCCCCCGCCACCCCCCAGGCTGATGGGGGTGTTGCCCCCGCCACCCCCCAGGCTGGGGGTGTAGCCCCCCTCAGACTAACAATACAGAAAACACCGCCGGCAACTTGGCTACACTTGTCTTATCGCTGGTAATATTTTTGTTGCCGTGACCCCTGCAGCCTCTCTCTCTCACACCACAACTCACACGCAAAAACAAACACACACTAAACTTGCATTCACCGAACACACATATACACATACACACACACCTGGGGGTATGTGGCTGAGTGGACAGCGCTCGGGATTCGTCATCCTAGGGACCGGGGGATCGATCCCCGGCGATTGCTGTAAGAAATGGCCAGAGTTTCTTTCACCCTGACGCCCCCTGTTCCCCCTAGCAGTGAAATAGATACCTGGGAGTTAGACAGCTGTTACGAACTGCTTCCTCTGTGTGTCTGTGAGGGGGGGGGGGGGAGGGAGAAACACAGTTGATTGACAGTTGAGAGGCGGGCCGAAAGAGCCAGAGCTCAACCCCCGCAATCACAACTAGGGGAATACACACACACACATACACCGCCCTCCAGCCGTGAAGGGACACATCGTTGCTTTAACTCTAACCAATATAAAGTAATGAGGACAGGTGAGGAGGGAGGGGGAGGGGGAGGGGGAGGGGGAGGGGGAGGGGGAGAGGGGGAGGGGAGGGGGAGGGGGAGGGGGAGGGGGAGGGGGAGGGGGAGGGGGAGTGGAGAGGGAGGGGGAGGGGAGGGGTGACAAGACGTCTGGGATACAGACAGGTGAGGTAGCTCCCAGACGGGTGAGGACGCTCCCAGACGGGTGAGGACGCTCCCAGACGGGTGAGGACGCTCCCAGACGGGTGAGGTAGGGAGATATAATCCCTGGGATGCTGGAGCCTTAGAGGAAGGCATCTCGCAGACACAGTAAAAGAAAAGCCTCTCGCCTGAAGAACACAGCAAGAAAATATCGTCTACAGGATTCGCCAAAATGACAAACCCATCACGAGCGCCTTCACAAATACACAAGACACAGAGAGGCCTTCAGAACGCTATATACAACAACCTTAAAGGGCCGGATATCGAAAAAAAATATTCGAAAATTTTGAAATATTGTATAAAATGTTAAACAAATCTTCAATTATTTGACATCCGCGTCGTGAAAGGTTCATCCCAATATATTAAGAAATGAGTTTTATATGATTAAAAAAAAAACAGTTTTGTTGATAAAGAGAACAGCTGCTATTGAGTGGAACTGAGGGATTATGCAGGAGTAAAGAGATGCAAGCACGTGTCTGACGCACAAAGAAAAAGAATAGTAATGTGTCCACACAGTGTATATGCAGCTGGTGCCTCTATAGCATTGCTGAGTAATACATAATACCACAAATAATAACGAGTAAGTATGTTATTATGCTGTATTTTGTTATATATCATATAAATACATTGCCCAATATCTGTTACTTCCACCAATGTCAATTTATTTTATTTTAGAATTTATTTTTCTCCTTTGTTTATTATTTGATTTTTGTGTAGCTTCTACATGGTGGAGAATGCCTACCCGGCACTCACTGTGTGAAGTTAGAACGGCATTGGTCAACAAATAAGTCAGCCACAGGTGGCACAACTTGCGACGTGGAATTTATTTTGGTCGATTTTTTTCACAGATTTCAAACTCTATTTTCTTTGTTGACCAGACCACACACTAGACGGTGAAGGGACGACGACGTTTCGGTTCGTCTTGGACCATTCTTTCAAGACGATGGTCAACGACTGTCTATTTTCTTTGTCTCTTAATGTTTTTTTTGTTGATTGGTGATCATATTAGGGCAAAATGACTTATATTAAATATATATCTCCTTTAAATCATTATAATTAGCCCTATATTTTGTGTTTTTTTTAGGTTACTTTTATTTTTTCACTTCATTTCAACACATGTTGACCTTCAACTTTCACATATTCGATTATGAATGCCAAGCAATGTTTATTAAAACATACAAAATAATTCATAAATTAGATCGATTCTATTCATTGTCGCACACTTCAGCTTCATTTTCACAGGGAACTAGAACTACAACTTTGAGTCAGCTACAAAAATTAGGTTTCTGGTCGATTCTCATCATTTTCACATATTTTGTGTAACGTGGGTTCTTTTTTCCACAATCACTATGTTGCGTTTTGTCAATAAACAGGAAAAACATTGGAGTTTTATGTTGTTGGGTCTAATTTTGGCGTTTGTTTTGAAAGGGCACATTACAAAATTTATTTACATCATTCAATACTCATAAACTAAATTCTAAGACATTGAAAATGAAGATTATGTACTAATCTGACACCATAATGATATATAATACAATTTGTGACATTTTTCTTTAGAGAATGATTTTTTTTATTTTTTTTTATTTTTTATGTTTGTTGCGCTTCTGCTATATATTTATTTATTTATTTTTTGGGTGCATATTAGGATGGTGATCCATTAGAAAAAGTTGGAACATTTATCAAGTAGATTCAGCACAAAAAAGTTGAGAGAGTTTGAGGTCGGTCGAAATATTAATTGTCTGACCCGAAATATTTTAAGTAAAATCGTCAAGTAGAAAGCATCGTCAGAGTGTCTACACATGTCAACAAAGATTAAATAAAATCAGGGAAGATACAGACGTGCGCCACTCCACGTGTCCCAGGAATGAAAGACCTCACCTACAGCGAAATTGCGAGCCAGCGCAAACTCACCACCACGCAGGAGAGTTAAATCAGAGAAGATACAACGACCAGCAAGCTATTAAGGGAAATGGATAGAATGGAGAGAGCAATGTTCATTCTAATGGGCAGCAGGACCAAAGGTCACGGGATGAAGCTGCACGACACACACACACACATCAAACGGAGAATCGTCACAATAAAAAATTTCGGTGAGAGTGACAAGTAAATGGAACGGTCAACAAGAGGAGATCTTTCAGGCATATGTACTAAGCATCACCAAAAATGCCTTGAAATAGCAACGAATAAAAATCATTGCATTTTGAGGGAGATTGAAAGGCCGGGGCTAAGGAACTATGACTCGACCCTGACAACACAAGCTGACGAGTGCAACACACTGAACAACAACAGAAACAACACACACACACACGTTGCAATAAGTGTGAGTGGAATATTATTATGTTAATATGGGGTCCAGGACATTGTTGTCCACCCGCAGGGGACACAAAATATTATCCCGTCCAGCTCTCCAGAAAGCACCGTCCGTCTTGGCCTGGTAGGCAAGGCTCGCTCTGCTTAACAGGCATCACGATTTTTTTTTTTTTTGCTCTAACTTATAAAATATTTCTTTGAATATGATAATATATTTGAAATACACCTTCGGTTATTATTTACAGTGGTAGAATTCTACCTACGCTTGGCAAGTGTGGCAGCATTAGATTAGATTAGATTAGATTAGATTAGGTTATGTTAAGTTAGGTGAGGTCACATTAGGTTAGGTTTGGTAAAGTTAGCTGAAGTTAGGTTACGTTAGGTTACGAAGTTAGGCGAAGTTACGGTTACTGAAGTTAGGTTAGGTTAAGTGAAGTCAGGTCAGGTTAGATTAGGTCAGGTCAGGTTAGATCAGATCAGGTTGGGTCAGGTTAGGTTAGGCGAGATTCTGTAGCCCAGCCTCCTGAAATGATAGTACTTAAAGTAACTATTTGCTTAACAGTACCAATATGTAGTGATGGACAACCAGTAAAGCACTTTTTGTACTAATAATTTAATAGTCCGGAAAAACTAAAACTAAAAACCAAACTTAAATATTCCTAGGCCAAGTATAACACATATATTTACTATATTAAGCCTATATGATAGCCTGTACTAGGCCTAGGGCTCCTAGGAGAGGTTGGGCTAGGCCTTATATTTATGCTGCGCCTAAAAACGTTTCTGGGTTGTCCACTATATGGTGGGTATGTCCACTATAGTGGGTATGTCCACTAGGGTTGTCCACTATGTCCACTGACCTACTCCCTGGCCACCTGACGTGACGTTCTGGGACCTTCCCTGGCCACCTGACGTCCTCCCTGGCCACCTGACCTACTCCCTGGCCACCTGACGTCCTCCCTGGCCACCTGACCTCCTCCCTGGCCACCTGACGTCCTCCCTGGCCACCTGACCTCCTCCCTGGCCACCTGACGTCCTCCCTGGCCACCTGACCTACTCCCTGGCCACCTGACCACCTCCCTGGTCCAGCACTACACGAGGATGGGCTGGACTGTTAACTAACTGTTGGGTCAAACACAAGATATTACAAATCATGTGTGTGTAGAATTTAATGTATGTTTCGTGTAAATTGATTGTATTGTCTTCGGACCAGATCAAATTATATTAGATCAATAAGGTATTCAGCTTTAATCATCTTCACTTCTCTTTGAGGATCGCCTGCCATGATAGACGCGCC